CCCTGGGTCCTCATGGATTTCTTTTTTGATGTATGTTCTTTAACCATCTGAGAAAGTGAAACGTGATTACCTTTTTTAATCTTAGAAATGTGGGTTGGCGTTAGATTTTTTATTTTTTTTAAATAGAAAAGTTATGTTTAACCATAAGTTGGCAGGTAAAGTAATTGGTAGAAGACATGTAGGTCTGTAAAATATTTTTTTGGTTTAATTAAACTAAGATAATACCTCAATATTCAAATCCATACTTAATATTTGAAGTATGTATATATATAAAAAAAAATTCCCTTCTCACCCACCGCGGGTGGTTCTTATCCTCTGAGCTCGGGTCCTCTACCAGAGGCCTGGGAGCTTGAGGGTCCTGCAGTATCTTGGCTGTGCCAAGGACTGCACATTTCTGGACTGAGATGTCTGATGTTGTTCCTGGGATCTGTTGTAGCCATTGCTCCAGTTTGGGGGTTACTGCCCCGAGGCCCCGATGACCACAGGCACCACTGTGGTCTTCACCTTCCAGGCCCTCTCCAGTTCTTCCCTGAGGCCCTGGTATTTCTCCAGTTTCTCGTGCTCCTTTTTCCTGATGTTGCAATCACTTGGTATTGCTACATCTACCACAACAGCTTTCCTCTGTTGTTTATCCAGTACGACAATGTCTGGTTGGTTCGCCCACGCATATGCTTGGAACCGAAACTCCACGCATATGCGACATGATTCTCATCTTTTTTTGTGAGCGACACAGAAGAGCAGCCCCTGGCCCACTATGGCAGATGATGACTTCTCCACCGCAGATGCTGGTGCCTCAGCTACATTCTCCATTCAGTGCACGGTACTGAATGGAGAATGTCTTTGTTATGCTGAAAGGACATCCCTGTAAAATAGTTGAGATGTCTACCTCCAAGACTGGAAAGCATGGGCATGCCAAGGTGCATCTTACTGGTATCGACATTTTTACTGCGAAAAAGTATGAAGATATCTGCCCCTCCACACATAACATGGATGTCCCAAATGTGATAAGAAAGGACTATCAGGTACTTGATATCATAGACGGCTTCCTGACCCTGTTGGAAGACAATGGAGAGACCAGAGAGGATCTCAGGCTGCCAGACGGTGACATGGGCAAAGAAATTGTGAAAAAACTAGAGAGTGGAGATCAGTTTCTGGTGACTTTGTGGAGAGCTGTGGCTGACGAATCTGTAGTTGGCATTAAGAACATGACTCCTATTTAGACCATGGCAACAGTGGAGACCTCAGATTCCTATCGCCCTCTGTGGTTTTAAAGCTTCACCAAAGCTACTGGCCTTCACCACTCATCTCAACCTGTGCTCCACTTCGTTCTTCTCCTCTCCTGCTGTAAGCTGAAATTCAAGAAACTGGACTCAGTCAGCTTCAGCTGCACTTCACAATCAGACCAGCCGGTCCATTCATTACTTTCATAGCACCACTGTGTAGCACATGCCAGGTAATTTTAAGAGGAGTCTTTGACCATGTTCCACTAATGCCTGGGAGCTTGAGGGTCCTGCAGTATCTTGGCTGTGCCAAGGACTGCACATTTCTGGACTGAGATGTCTGATGTTGTTCCTGGGATCTGTTGTAGCCATTGCTCCAGTTTTGGGGGTGACTGCCCCGAGGGCCCGATGCCCCGATGCCTCAGGCACCACTGTGGTCTTCACCTTCCAGGCCCTCTCCAGTTCCTCCCTGAGGCCCTGGTATTTATGTTTCCATATATATATATATATATATATATATATATATATATATATATATATATATATATATATATATTATAGATATAATATATATATATATATATATATATATATGAATTATATTAGAATAATTAATTGTATTAATATAATAATATTTTAATATAATATTTGAATAATATTTGAATATTAATAATTATCAAATTAAAATTTTCTTCCACTGCCAATTTATTATCAGGAATTTGCATAAAATCTTTGTGGTATGATGGAGGACTCCTGAGAAAGAACCTGAAACAAATGAAGGAAATGATTGTTGATTTCAGGAGGATCGGGATTAGATCAAACCTGTTTCCATCATGGAAGAAGAAGTGGACGTGTTTGAGGGATATAAACACCTCAGTGTTCATCTGGATCACAGACTGGACTGGAGCAGCATCAGAGCCAGGGACCGTCAGAGCTCAACAGACTGGTAAAGAAGACTGGTTCTGTTCTGAGAAACCTCTGGAGATGGTCATACAGAGAAAGATTCTTAAAAGGTGTTAGCAGAATCAGTTTTCGGCACAGCGTTGAACGTGACATCAAGAAACTCGCACCGGTTTGGCTTTTGTGTTGTTCTCCTTTTGTTTGGAGGACACACCCTTTTATTGTACACAAGTGTGTTCAATTAGACAGGTCACGTGATGTGACACACAATAATCCAATAATGAGAAAAACAACAACAACAACAACAAATGACAGCACAAAAACATTCATAATGTCAACACCCCCACTTGCTCACATTTGGGTAGCTTCCTCTGACTCTTAATATTTCAACCAAAATACATTCATGATTCGCCAAACATAAACATTTCATACTTCCTCAACTTAATCTTTGTTGCTGGTTTAGTTAGTACATCTGCAACCATTTCATTAGTTGGACAGTCTAGAAACACTTTTTCTTCATTTACAACTGTTCTGACAAAATATATTTAATATCAATATGTTTACATCTTTGTCTATTCACAGGATTTTTGGCTAAGGATATGGTACCCTGATTGTCCTCATAAATCTTAGCTAAATAATCCAGACCATCCATGTTGAACAACAGTTGTTTCAAGTATAAGCATTCCTGTACAGTAGCAGCTAGTGCCATGTACTCTACTTCACATGTAGATAGAGCTACTGCAGGCTGTCTTTTGGTCTTCCATGAGACTAACGGACCATCTTTATTTAGACTCATACAGTAACCTGTTGTACTCCTTCGATCGGATACATCACCTGCCCAATCAGCATCACTGTATGCATATATAAGGTTATCACAGGCACCCCTTTTAAAACATAGTTCTTTATCTTGTGTGCCTCTTAGATACCTAAAAACATGCTTTACAGTATTCCACTGCTCTGTGGTTGGGTTTGCAAAGTACTGTGTCAGTTTACTACTACATAGCTTAAATCTGGTCTTGTACATGTTGACAAATAGATTAAGCTTCCTACTGCCTCCCTGTATTTTCTGACATCACTCATTACTTCAGCATTATCATCATAATTAAGTTTCTGCTCACAAGGGTAGTTCGTGGCTTACAGTTCTGCATGTCAAACTTTTCCAGTATTTTCTTCACATACTTCGACTGTGACATTTAACACTGTCAGCCTCTTTTTCAAAGTCAATGCCAAGAAAATGTGTCAATTTCCTAAGTCCTTCATCTTAAATTTGGATGCAAGTTTCTCTTTTACATCTTTAAGGATATTTGTATCACTGGCAGCAATAATCAAATCATCGACCCATATAATGATATGCACGGTTGCAGTATCATTAATCTTTGTGTAAACACAATTATCAGCAGGGTTTTGAACAAACTTGATTTCACATAGGTAGTCATGCAACATTTTGTTCCAGTTTCTGCCCGACTGTTTGAGTCCATAAAGAGATTTTTGTAGTTTATACACCAGTTTCTCATTTTCTTGAGATTCCTTCTTGTAGCCCTCTGGTTGTTCAATATAAAGTTCACATTCAATTGGAGCATGTAAATATGCTGTCTTTACATCCATCTGGTGAACAAACATGTTCTCCTGTGCTACCTTTTGCATTAACACTCTGATGCTCGTCATGCTAGCAGTTGGTGAAAAGGTTTCATCATAGTTCACACCTTTCTTTTGACTGAATCCTTTAGCAACATATCTAGCCTTGTATTTATCTGATCCATCATTATTCTTTTTGATTGTATACACCCATTTACCCCCACTACAGCTTTACCCTCAGGTAAGTTGGTCAGGGAAAAAGTAACATTGTCCTGTAATGACTGCATTTCCACATCCATTGCTGTAACCCACTCTTTTGCATTCACAGACGTTACAGCTTCTTTGTAGGTTTGAGGTACTCCACTTATCAGTCTGTAACAGTAATCAATGTTAGCTATTTGCTCGTCATCATCAATGCTACATACATAGTCATCTAAATAATCTGGTTTCTTTCTTTCTCTGACAGGGTATCACCTCTCAGGTTCTTCATGTTTTGTTGTGTGACTGGTACTCGCCATTGGTTCTTTTTCTATGCTCGGGTCCTGATTTACTGGATCAGCATCTGAAGTTTTGGTTGCTTTGGGACTAATTCTTATCATATCATCATCATCATCATCATCATCATCCAAAGTTACATCAGTCTCATTTTTCTCTCTGGATACAATTTCCACAAGCCTGTGTTTCTGGATTTTCCTGCTGTTTGGATAGTAGACCATATAAGCTGGGCTATTCTTGTCATACCCTATAAAAATGCCTTTTTCACACCTTGAATCCAGCTTCCCTTTCTCTCGTTTGTAAGTGTAACAAACGCATCCAAACTTGTGCATCCTAGAAATGTTAGCCTGTGTGCCTGTCAACATGAAGTAAGGGTTGTTTGTTTGTGCGATTAAAAACATCTGTTTCGCACTACAGCAGCTGTCTGAACTGCATATGGCCATAACATTTTTGGTAACTCACCATCGATTAACATACATCTAGCCATGTCAAATAAAGTTCTCCAGTTTCGTTCTGCCGTACCATTTTGATGTGGAGAATATGGTGCGGAGGTCTCGTGTCTGATACTATTCTGCTCAGTAATGCCTGATACTCTTTTCCTGTGAATTCTGTACCATTATCTGACCTCATACATTTAATCTTTCCATGTGGGGTCATGTCAGCAATAAACTTTTCAGTAGCTTGTACTGTATCACTCTTGTTTTTCAAAAAATATACAAAAACTGCACTGGAATAATCATCCGTGAAGGATAATGCATATCTGTGACCATCTTTGACATTGGATCTATAGGTCCTGCTAAATCTGTGTGGACCATTGCTAGAGGTTCTTTAGCTCTTGCATCTGGCTCCTTGTTCCTAGTTTGAACAAATTTTCCTTTTGTGCAAACTTCACAATATGGCATTGGTTCACCTCTCCCTTTAATTTCCATGCCATGAACAACATTTTCTAGCTTCAGTACATCTCTGTAATTGCAATGTCCAAGAATCTCATGCCAACCTTGTAAGTCATAAAATTTTTTACACCACCACATTCATTGTCCGTCGTTTGCAAATAATACAGTTTGTTACATACGTGAATGGGGAACTTGGTATCGTCTCTGAGAAGAACGTTCTTTCCTTTGAAGATCACCGTTGCTCCGCTGGATGTTGCAGCTTCACTGAGAAGATGTCCTGCGGATATGAAGGGATGTACAATGCGTTCCTCAGCACTGTTTTAAGACGTCGACCTCTGTTGTCGATCAAACACACTTCCGCGTCTCCTCGTTGCTTAGCAACCCCAAAACACCTGGATCCATCTGCCAATTCCACGCAGTGCGTCTCGGCCTGGAAACTTTCATCAAGCTTCCAAAACTTCCCGATGTCGGTGATTATATGCGATGTTGCACCAGCGTCCACCATCAGACCTCTCCTCCTGATGTCGTCCACTCGCGTGTCAGCGTCGCTCACCCGGAATGCAAACTCTGTCGCCACCCGTCTCTTCGGCTACTTTCCGTGCGTTGTCCCGTTGTTTTCTCCGTCTGCAGGTTACGTTGCTGTGACTGTTATTCTTACAGTAACTGCACCATTGCTTCCGCTGGCAGGTTCTGCTTATGTGGCCTTTCATCCCACATTTAAAACACACAATCTCAGAACTTCCTGCTCCAGGATCATTTGCGCCTCTTGGTGCGCATTTTGTGCCAGAATGTGCTTTAGCTTTCATCACATTGTCTTCAGATACTGTAGCACGCATATTCTCAATGTCTTCAAAACTTCTGAGTTTAGTCTTAAACTCTGCAAAAGTCAATTTATCACCATCTTCGCTTTGCCTAATGTAAACAGCAAATGGCTTAAATGTCCCTGGAAGTCCTTTCATTATCATGGCGATTAAAAGTCCATCGCTCAGCACCTCATCTGCATTCCTTAAAGCGGTGATCGCGGTCTCTGCTCTGATGATGTACTCTGTAACCGATTCACTGGGTGATTTCTGCAGCGAAGTCAGTTCAGTGTACAAGTTAATCACTCTTGGCTTTCCTTTGCCGGCGTAATGGGCCCGCAGGATTCCAAGTGCCGCACGTCCGTTGTCTGCCGCGTCATGCATGATAAGTGATAGACTCTTGTCATCCAAAAACTGAATGAGCTCGGCATAAGCTTCAGCATTTTTCTTCGCGTCTTCCTCTTCATCGTCATCATCGGAGGAACATGTCAAAATTGTCTGTTTCAACCCTTGCAGTCGAAGATGTCCTAAAAACTTGGTTTCCCATAGTTCAGAATTTTTCTCATCTCCATCAAAAAGAAGTCTTGACCAGCGGCTGTGTGCCATGTCTTTTTCTTTTCTGTTCATTTTCCTCGTTTACTTACACAGCAGGTGTTCACGGTCTGTCGAGGCATTCACCTGTTTCTTCATTGATTCTGGGCCCATAACCTGTTAGCAGAATCAGTTTTCGGCACAGCGTTGAACGTGACATCAAGAAACTCGCACCGGTTTGGCTTTCATGTTGTTCTCCCTTTGTTTGGAGGACACACCCTTTTATTGTACACAAGTGTGTTCAATTAGACAGGTCACGTGATGTGACACACAATAATCTAATAATGAGAAAAAAAACAACAACAACAACAAATGAGAGCACAAAAACATTCATAATGTCAACAAAAGGACTAAGAAAATTTGGGACAATCCTGTCCATCCTCTTCATCCGATTGGACTTGTTTCACTGGGATCCAAACTCTGGTTCCTCCAGCTCCTTATGGGTAGGACGTACGCCTGCATGTCCTAGGGCCTCATGCACGCTCCATACAACCATACAACCTCATCCAAACCTCCCCTGCTGGGGAGGTTTGCTTCTCTGCTTTCAAAACCATTTTCTTCCCAAATGAACAAATCTTTTTTAAGGGCTTGGGCACAGTAATAGCTATCCGTGACTAACCTGGTGCTTTTGATCTTTCTTTTTGCCAGTTCCAGAAGTCCTTCCAATATTGCAGTTACTTCTCCGGCTTGGGCACTGCCAGGGGCTTTTCCTTTTTGCCGACACCTTTCTTGGTGTCGGCAAAAATAGTGGGGCTTCAAGATGAACCCCCAGTCTCATCAGAGAGATGAGACTCAAAAAGATCTTCTTCTGAGGAGCAAACCTCCCCAGCCGGGGAGGTTTGTTTCTCTGCTGGAGATGGTTTAAAAAGAAATCTGTCAAAATCATCGTATTCTGGGAAGCAAACCTCCCCGGCGGGGGAGGTTTGCTTCTCTGCTGGAGATGGTTTAAAAAGAAATCTGTCAAAATCATCGTATTCTGAGAAGCAAACCTCCCCTGCCAGGGAGGTTTGCTTCTCTGCTTTCAAAACCATTTTCTTCCCAAATGAACAAATCTTCTTTAAGGGCTTGGGCACAGTAATAGCTATCTGTGACTAACCTGGTGCTTTTGATCTTTCTTTTTGCCAGTTCCAGAAGTCCTTCCAATATTGCACTTACTTTTCCGGCTTGGGCACTGCCAGGGGCTTTTCCTTTTTGCCGACACCTTTCTTGGCCGTCTCGCTTCAAGATGAACCCCCAGTATGCCACTTGGCCGGATCCTTTTCTTAATCCATCAGTGTAAAGTATCCATTCAGGGTGTATTTCGTCTTCAGGCTGTGCCTGTGGCCACATCTCCTACTATTATTTGGAACCATCTCACATTGGGCACCATGTCTCTCAGGCCTGTTATAATCGTTTTTCTGCGTAAACCTGAACAGATTACATCTCATCAGGCCAGTTTTCATAACAGGCTAAAACGTGAATAGCAGCACAATAGAAACCCACAAAGAAAACAAAGAACCCCTGAACATAACACAAAAAATCAGAAAAAAAAATAATGATCACAAGAAGAGAAAGTAAACACAAAATTAAGATTAGTGGCTTCCATCTATTTGTGTTCTTAAATATATATTCCAGTATTGATATACTGTTTAGATGATCAAGCTCATTGTCTTTCACATTCATGACAGATCCACTTGCCTCCAGAATGGTTTCTGACGATTGTGGCTGCGATAAATAACTGGCATGGAGAGAGAGTGCAGGGGAAGACGGCATACTTGATGTTTTCTTCTCAAATCCTCTTTCATTAGAAGGGGAGGTTTGTTTCTCAACTGGCGATGGATCAGAGAGATGAGACTCAAAAAGATCTTCTGAGGAGCAAACCTCCCCAGCCGGGGAGGTTTGCTTCTCTACTGGAGTTTGTTTAAAAAGAGAGCTGTCAAAATCATCGTATTCTGGGAAGCAAACCTCCCCCGCCGGGGAGGTTTGCTTCTCTGCTGGAGATGGTTTAAAAAGAAATCTGTCAAAATCATCGAATTCTGGGAAGCAAACCTCCCCGGCCGGGGAGGTTTGCTTCTCTACTGGAGATGGTTTAAAAGAAATCTGTCAAAATCATCGTATTCTGGGAAGCAAACCTCCCTGGCCGGGGAGGTTTGCTTCTCTGCTGGAGATGGTTTAAAAAGAAAGCTGTCAAAATCATCGTATTCTGAGAAGCAAACCTCTCCCGCCGGGGAGGTTTGCTTCTCTGCTGGAGATGGTTCAAAGAGAAATCTGTCAAAATCATCGTATTCTGAGAAGCCCCGGCCGGGGAGAATATGAGAAGCCCCGGCTGGCGAGGTTTTCTTCTCTGCTGGAGATGGTTTAAAAAGAAAGCTGTCAAAGTCATCGTATTCTGAGAAGCAAACCTCCCCCACCGGGGAGGTTTGCTTCTCTGCTGGAGATGGTTCAAAAAGAAATCTGTCAAAATCATCGTATTCTGAGAAGCCCCGGCCGGGGAGAATATGAGAAGCCCCGGCCCCGGCCGGCGAGGTTTTCTTCTCTGCTGGAGATGGTTCAAAAAGAAATCTGTCAAAATCATCGTATTCTGAGAAGCCCCGGCCGGGGAGAATATGAGAAGCCCCGGCCCGGCCGGCGAGGTTTTCTTCTCTGCTGGAGATGGTTCAAAAAGAAATCTGTCAAAATCATCGTATTCTGAGAAGCCCCGGCCGGGGAGAATATGAGAAGCCCCGGCCCCGGCCGGCGAGGTTTTCTTCTCTGCTGGAGATGGTTCAAAAAGAAATCTGTCAAAATCATCATATTCTGAGAAGCCCCGGCCAGGGAGAATATGAGAAGCCCCGGCCCCGGCCGGCGAGGTTTTCTTCTCTGCTGGAGATGGTTTAAAAAGAAAGCTGTCAAAGTCATCGTATTCTGAGAAGCAAACCTCCCCAGGTGGGGAGGTTTGCATCTCTGTTGCAGATGGTTGAAAAAGAAAGGCGTCAAACGCATCATACACACACATTTCTGCCATTCTGAAAATTATCGTGAAAAACAATGTTGAACTTCAAAGAGCTGCTTGGAAATGGAACAGATTTCTTGAAACACATGAATTCATAACCTCAGGTGTTCTTTGATCTAGAATTGCTTGTCATGGATGAGGTCATAACTACAATGAGGTCACTGTAGTTCTAGGGGAATGTCTTGTTTCTGCATGTTGCTATAGAAACTACCAGATCAGTTCTGGATGACCCAGATTATTGACCCTTTGCAACGGCATCATTTAATCATTAGAGGTGCCATGACATGAAGTGAGGAATGGGAACTTGGTGACTGAAGCTGTTTTCCAAAGTTGTTTGGAGTCGGACTGGAAGGTGAAGACCACAGTGGTGCCTGTGGTCATCGGGGCCCTCGGGGCAGTAACCCCCAAACTGGAGCAATGGCACGTTGCTATAGAAACTACCAGATCAGTTCTGGATGACCCAGATTATTGACCCTTTGCAACGGCATCATTTAATCATTAGAGGTGCCATGACATGCAGTGAGGAATGGGAACTTGGCGACTGAAGCTGTTTTCCAAAGTTGTTTGGAGTCGGACTGGAAGGTGAAGACCACAGTGGTGCCTCAGGGCAGTAACCCCCAAACTGGAGCAATGGCTACAACAGATTCCAGGAACAATATCAGAGACCTCAGTCCAGAAATGTGCAGTCCTTGGCACAGCCAAGATACTGTGTATGACTCTCAAGCTCCCAGGCCTCTGGTAGAGGACCCGAACTCAGAGGTGAGAAGGATTTTTTTTAATACATTCCTTTGAGCTACAGCTCTTTAACTTTGAGCGTTTGAGATATTTATGTTTCATTTGACATTCTGTTTATTGCGTCGGCTTGCAAAATAACTCTGGATCCTTGTCCAGTCTTGTTGTCAGAGTCCAAATGCAGCAAGTTTCTGTGTCTCGTTGTATTTGTAGCCTAAAGAAACAAACTCCTGGATTGCTAATCAGAAATTTTGACAAACATCTCATTTACTTTAAGAAGAAATAGAAATTTCAAAAGCAATTATTTCTCAAATTTTATTTATTTATTTCTGATTTAATAAATATAGTTAAATTAAAGATTACATGTCTCAAAGTTTTCAGTCTGACACTTAATTTATTTTTAGGCTTTTAACTCCCTATTTGTCTGTTTATGTTCTGTGTTTTCTTCAAATTTGATTTTGAATTTTGGAAGCAAGTCTACTGGAAATTTTCATTTATATTTTATCTCCCTTTCAGTGAATAATTCATTTTGTGTTCTTCCCAGTACAGATGGTTTGGACATCTCCAATTAAAGTTAACATGTAAACTTATAAATATTTTGTCAACATGCTAGAGCTCCCTCAAAATGGTGAGTGTAAGGTTCCTTTCTAGTGCTCAACATACTCTGTGAGAAATTCTGCACCCGCTCCGTGTCAGCTGGGTTCAACATGTTTTAAAAACAAATATTGTGTCAAAATTGGCATTGACTGTATCCAAATGGTGTGGAATGCAACATAAACTCTAAGTGTAAAAATGGGAAAAAAAAAAAATGTTTTGTTTATGCAGTTAGTGCTTAATAAAACTTACAGAGTTGCAATAAAATGCTGGGGGAGTGGGGGGGGTTGTTTTTTACTTTAAATTTCTCCTGATTTATCAAACAAATCTAGCTCTTCATGTTATGGAAAGATAGTTGACCCTATTGATACAAGAAAAAATTGCTTCATATTTAATTTTTTGTCAAACGATAAGATCAATCAACTTCAGATTAAGTCATTAATTGATGAGTTGCATCCGTAGTTCATAAAAATGTTATACTGCGAACACCAAAAACCAACAAACATTTCTAACATTCCAAAAAGAGAATAAACATGAGTTATCAGAATGAAAATTAATTGATATAACAGAAATATTACTTCCCCTATTTTGATTAATGTCCAATTTCTACAGTTCTCTAAGTGTGTTGTATTTTTTCTGCTGTAATGAATGTGAACCAGCGTTATGAAAACATATTAAAGATGTTTCTGGAAGAATTTTTGGGAAATAAAATGAACATTAATATGAAGCGACAGCAACATGGGTGAGGCAGCGCTGTTCAGCCTGTGGGCTTAAATGACATTTGGTCCAGGATTAGACTGACTTATAAGTGTTTCACTGCTGCTTTTTAGTCAGAGGTTGTAAAGCATCAAAGCCAAGTCTCAGACTTCTGAAAGATGAGCTGCTGTTTCCACTCATGTGGATTTCACAGCTAAGAGGACTGCATGTGGGCAGAAGGAGATCA